CATCAGCCACTCCTCCCAGGTTGGTAGGTAGCATCATCAGACTTGCTGAGGRTGCGCTCTGTCCCTTCATCCAGGTCATGAATAAGTTGGACAAGACTGGACCCAGTACACATTTTTGAGGGATACAAGCCTCCAACTAGACTTCGTACCACTGATCACAGCCCTCTGAGCTCTGTCATTCAGGCAGTTCTCATCCACCTCACTGCCACTCATCTAACCCACAGTTCCTGAGCTTATTAGTGAGGATGTCATGGGAGACAGTGTCAAAAGCCTTGCTGAAGTCTAGGTAGACAACAGCCACCACTCTCCCCTCATGTACCCAGCAAGTCATTCCCTCATAAAAGGCTACTGGATTGATTAAATAGGATTTCTGCTTGGTAAAACCATCCTGACTATCTTGATCCCATTTTCTACCACTTGCTTAGAGATGACAGCCAGGCTGAGCTGCTCCATCATTACCTTTCCAGGGGTGGAGGTGTGGCTGACTGGCCTRTAGATGCCTGGTCCTCCTTGCTCTTCTGAAGCCTGCAGTGACACTGGCTTTCCTCCAGGCTCAGGCAGTTCTCCTGTTCTCCATGACCTCTCAAAGATAATGGGGTCTCAAAGATAATAATGGGGATCTCAAAGATAATATCCCACAAGCCTCTCAGCCCTTGCGGGTACACCCCATCAGGRCCCATGGATTTGTGGGTGTCAGGTTTGCCTAAGTAAGTGATCTCTAAGCCAGTCCTCCCCATTCAAGGGAAGTCTTCCTTCCTCCAGACGGGCACCTGAGCGTCACCTCTGGAGTCACCTCCAGCCTTGAGAAGTTGCATGGCCTCAAAGCTCCTTATTGCTCACATGGCAAGCTGTTACAAATACTCATTTTATAATAAAGTTACTGAGTGCTTCTGCAGGAATATTTTTGAAGTGATTCAGAGGACAATACGCTAAAAGAGTGATAGTGATCAGAACAAAACTTGGAGAGAAGAAAGACTCTAGTTGCCCTCAAYTGAGTATCTTCACCCAGATAGAACTGTAGTTACCATTTTAACCTCTTGGTAATATGTTAACATGGTAACATCTGTCCTAAATTCTCCCTCCTGTAAGCAGCAGAGCACAACTACGAGGGCACGAGGAGAAGCAGGTTTATCTGGATGTGTGAACCCATGGCTGTGCTTGCCAGTCCATAGGCCTTAAGCTTAAACTCTTGATGTTCTTAAAGCCGGATAGAAGGTAAAACTACCCATCCTACAACGACATCCCAGACCAGGGTTGGCAATATCCACCATGCTGCTTTGATAATGCTGCTATTTCCTCGTTATAATTCCTGCCTGACCCCATCGAAATATGACCTGATGGCTTTCGGATTAAAGCGGAGTGACTAATTCAGTCAGTGAATCAGTTGCAGGTAGGGCTGATGCTCCATTGTGAGGGATCAAAGCAGAGCACTTAATAACATTTCTGTGCTTGTTCTGCTCCTTCCTGTCAGTTTATTCAAATAACTTTACGACCCAAACGTATGAAGTGAACACTTCCACTGTGGTCGTGACTGCTGGCACTCCACGGGAGGCACGTGGAGGTGCTGGAAGTGGGCAGAAAAATGGCCAGGGGGCCAGATGAGTGAGGGACCCCTCACCAGCTCTGGGACTTGCAGGGTGAGCAAGGAAAACCCAGTGAGAAGGTTCATAGAGAGGCAGGGGCCTCCAGCATTTGCATGGTAAGTGCAAATTCCTTGTCCCTAAGGAATTTACRTTGGAGAGACTTGCTCTGCTAACAGTCGGTTAGCAGGATTGGCCTCTGATTGAAAACAACATGCTGTAAATGAGATTAAATGAGGTAAAATAAGGCAAAGTTTAAAATAATTAGATTATATGTGAACACTCTGTAGTAAATGTATCCATTTCAGTCATTAATTGTTTTATGTAGAGTCATTTAAAAGGCCCAGGTCCTGCAAACACTGTCAGTTARGAGTAATCCATACTTCCTTCTGCAAGGAAAATCCTCAAGCTTGAGATCTAAAGTTGTTTTAATAATCTGGCCTTTGTATTTATTTGTGTGCAGCCATGCTAGGGAGAAAAGGGAATTAAATGATCTCAGTGTAATAGATTTATTTTGTTTTTTTAACATTAGAATGGCATAGTGTCTTCTTGAGCCACTTAATGCAGTGTAATGCCATTGAAGGCCTTCCACAGACAAGAGTCAGGCTGCGCTCACCGGCGTTTGGTCTCACAGCTTGTCCAGCTYGCAGCACAAGAGTTAGAGTCATAGAATCATAGAATCATAGAATGCCCAAGGTTGGAAGGGACCTCAGAGGTCATCGAGTCCAACCCCCCTGCTCACGCAGGGTCACCTAGAGCACGTGGCACAGGGCTGCATCCAAGCGGGTTTTAAAGATCTCCAAAGAAGGAGACTCCACAACCTCTCTGGGCAGCCTGTTCCAGGGCTCTGTCACCCTCACTGTCAAAAAGTGTTTTCTCAAGTTCCTGTGGAACTTTTGGTGCCTCAGCTTGTGGCTGTTTGCTCTAGTCCTATCACTGTCCACCACTGAAAAGAGGCCGCCCCCCTCCTCCTCACTGCCTCCCTTGAGGTATTTATACACGCTGATCAGGTCCCCCCTCAGCCTCCTCTTCTCCAGGCTGAACAGACCCGGCTCTCTCAGCCTTTGCTCATAGGGCAGATGTTCCAGGCCCCTGATCATCCTGGTAGCCCTGCGCTGGACTCTCTCCAGCAGCTCCACATCCCTCTTGTACTGGGGAGCCCAGAACTGGACGCAGTACTCCAGATGTGGCCTCACCAGGGCTGAGTAGAGGGGGATGATCACTTCCCTCGACCTGCTGGAGACGCTTTTCTTAATGCACCCCAGGATCCCGTTGGCCTTCTTGGCCACCAGGGCACACTGCTGCCTCATGGTCARCTYGTYGTCCACCATGACACCCAGGTCCCTCTCTGYGGGACTGCTCTCCAGCAGGTCCACCCCTARTCTGTACTGGTGTCCAGGGTTATTCCTCCCCAAGTGCAGGACCCTGCACTTGCCCCTGTTGAACCTCATGAGGTTTCTCGCYGCCCAGTCCTCCAGTCTGTCCAGGTCCCTCTGGATGGCAGCACAAGGCACCCTTAGTAATAAGGGCTGAGGTAGCAGCACACAGATGGTATCCTGCACCTGTAACCTCCGTAAATATTGAGCCCAGTTTCAATGCTCAGTATTTCAACAGGTGAGAAACTTACTGTAAACCTGCTTTCCTGATGTAACCAACTGAATTATTGGTGCGTGCTCTGTCCAAGGGGACCTTTTAAGCACATACGGTATTCGGCAAAATATTGGATGTCAGSACAAAGCGAGACATGCAGTAGCTGAGAAAACTCATGCCCTCCAATGAGATGTGGAGGAGCTACTTAGGCTGAGCATTGCAAACACCTTCCTGCATGAATAGCATGAAGCTTGTGGCACTGGGCCTGGAGTGCTCTACCACGCAGGTAGATAACCCCAGGCCAGGATGCTAGTTCTTGCCCAAGTAGGGCTKACTCGTTCCCGAAATACACGTTCTTCTCAAGTCTGCAGTTGCAGGGATAGACGTAAGGGGAGGCGAGGGGGTTCCCTGYGCTCCGGTGTCGTGTCCCACCTGGCTCCCGTCCCCCTGTCCTCTGCTTGTCCCACATGAGCACAACCAGYGACTTCCCAACAGTGCTTGTAAATAAAGTGAGCCCATATAGGCTGCATATGGGGACCACAAGCTGGACTGGCCGTGGCCATCCTGTAGAGGAAAGGTGCTCCGTGTGCTGATGTGCACACAGTTTGGCGTGTGCCCTGCTCCCCTTCCCGGAGAGCTGCCTTCTTCAGGGCCGAGCGCTGCATAGTGCCCTTAAACAGGTTGGTTGGTTTGTTTTTCCATAGTATATCCAGGACACGCTCACAGGGCTTTAAGACAGCAGTAAAAATGGTTTTACACAGCTAATCCAGATACTTGTCACCACTTTCTGGATTTTGAGTTGAKGAAAACGTACTTTGAGAAACCTGGTTGGATTTTTCAGAATTGCCTCGATCCCAGTTTGCATTATCTTCCAGAAATGGCAGTGTTGTATCCAGCTGGAAATGACTGCAGTTCTGTTTTGTCATATCACTAAAGCTTGGGGTTTTTTAATTTTATTTTTTTTTCTGGAAGTTTAGCTATTTAGATTACATGTTCCTCTTGAAGCCTAATGTTCCACAGCTCCTTATTAGAAACATCAATGGTATTGAATGGAAATGGATCTTGCATGATGATTTCAAAAATCAGGCCAGTAATGCAGTATCCCCTTGGCATAACATTTCCATTAGCAGGCATTTCTTGTAATTGTAAATTCCTTAACATAGAGGAGGGTAACTAGAATAACACAATATATTTATTTAACTATTAAGGCCTTTAATGAACTTCAGGAAAACAGTTTCAATCCAGGGCTCTAAAGCCTCCGTTACCTTATGCACATTGACCTCCGTCCTGCAAACAATTACACATAGGCTCAGCCTCGCTGCCTTTCAACGGACAGCTCACATTTGTAAAGTTAAGCCTAAGTGTGTGTGTTTGCAGAGATGCAGGCCTCGCTTTAGTTTGGAAAAGCTGAGCTGGGCTAACAAAGGGGCAGCTTCTGCCACCGCGCTCCGGTTCCAAAGCCCCTTCCTCAGAGCCCGGCAGCGTTTCCCTCTGCCGCTCCCTGTGACCGCTCCGCCCGGCCTGCCCGTGCGCTGGGGCTGTAGGGCCACCCCGCCGTGGGGCTGGTTGTGTGGGGCCGAGGCCGCTGCCCCCTGCTCGCAGCCGTGGGGCTGGTTGTGTGGGGCCGAGGCCGCTGCCCCCTGCTCGCAGCTGTGGGGCTGGTTGTGCGGGGCCGAGGCCGCTGCCCCCTGCTCGCAGCCGTGGGGCTGGTTGTGTGGGGCCGAGGCCGCTGCCTCCCGCTCGCAGCCGTGGGGCTGGTTGTGCGGGGCCGAGGCCGCTGCCCCCCGCTCGGCCCTGTGGCGCTCAGTCCCTGTGGCGCTTCTCTCGCAGCTCGCGGTCCCGCACAACGACGAGTGGAGCCGCTTCGCCCGGACGCTGGTGGAGATCCGCGCCAACCGGGCGGACAGCGAGGAGGAGGGGGCGGCCGAGCTGCCGGCCTAGAGGCGGCGCCCGCCCCGCCGGGCCGCCCGGAGCCCGCGCCGCCTYGCGCCGGCGTCCCGCGCGCTGCCGCACGCTGCATTTCTGTCTGAAACGTAAGGAAGAAGAGACAAATCAAACCTTTATGGGTTTAGTTGTTGCCTTTTAACTACTTAGTAGCTGTATTTAATAGCTAGGAACCCCTGGTTAAACTTGTGCTCACATTGCCCTTCTGGCATWGCCCTATTAAATCCATATGAAGCCAGATATGATTGTGTGCAGATGTAGTGTGCTTCACTGTATGGGCCCGGGCCAGAGACGTTAGATGTGGTGTTTCACATGGTGACTTACATTATGAATGGATGTACTATACGAAAGTTGCTGCTCCTTATTTATTGCGGTGTGCTGCATGGAACATATTTATTTGAAAGCATTAAAATAAACGATCCTAGAGCATGTGCATAATGAGAGAACTGCATTGTCTGTGTGCTGCCGTGGAGGCTACATGAAAGTCCACGTAACAGTTACTGTACATCAGTTGTGCTGGAGATGKAAGATCTGTAAAGGTTGGCTTGAGTGGGTGGAATGACTTTCCTTTCTGTTTTTTATTTTTTTAATGCCTGTTATTTCTAGGCACTTTAACGATATTTCAGATATACTTGGTCGCTGATACTTGTCGCGCAAGTTAACACTAACAGTCTGGCAAAGGGTTGTGGTTCCTGCCTATGACACGAGTGCTGCCAATAAAACGTATCATCAAGCCCGCTCTGTCGCAGTGTGGTCCATCGATCCTTACCCRTCAGTGGCGCAGGGAAAACGTGGCCTCCCTGGCCTGCCCAGCGGGTAAATGGTGCCCGCGGCACCCCGCTCCGGGGCAGCAGGGCACTCGCTGCAYCGAGTCCTGCTCCGGATTCTACGGGAGACAACCCCGGCCGAGAGCTGTGTCTTTAGCTTAGCGGGTTACGCTCATGCAGCCACGGAGCCGCGCTGTGCTGCTCTGCCCGCTGGGAGAAAAGGAGGTGGAGAGAAGCACGGGGGAGGCCGCACCTCGAATCCTGGCTTYGGGTTTGGGCCCCTCACTACACGAAGGTCATGGAGGTGCTGGAGTGKCTCCAAAGGAGGGCAGTGAAGCTGGTGAAGGGGCTGGAGAGAGACCTTACGAGGAGCAGCTGAGGGAGCTGGGGTTGTGTAGCCTGGAGAAGGAGGCCCAGGGGAGACCTACAGCTACCTACAACTCCCTGAAAGGAGGGAGTAGTGGGGCGGGGGTCGACCTCTTCTCCAGAATCACTGCAGACTGAACAAGAGGGAATGGCCACAAGCTGTGCCGGGAGAGGTTCAGGTCAGACATCAGGGAGAATTTCCACTCGGAAGGAGTGGTCAAGCATTGGAACAGGCTGCCCAGGGACATGGTGGAGTCACAATCCCTAGTAGTGCTCAAGAAATGTGTAGATGGGGCACTTAGGGACATGGATTAGCAGGGATGGTGGTGATGGGTTTACGGTTGGACTTAATGATTTTAAAGGTCTCTTCCAACCACAATGATTCCATGATTCTGTGATAAGGCCTCTGCAAACTTACTTGCGAGAGACGTTTGGGCAGGGGACAAGGGAATRTCCTTTGAAAGGCACTGCCCTGTGGGCTGAGGCAGACACCAGGGTCCRCCTGAGCTCAGTCTTGCTGAGGAGGAACAGTGCTGAAGGCTGTAAGGTGGTAAGGCTGCTAGACACATTAGCCTCATAAGTGATGTTCAGCCACAACATCACCGTGATGGCTGTTTGCCTTCCAAGTTCTCCCTACTCCGTAGCATGAGTAGCTTGTAAAATACTGGAGTCAGCTMAGAAGACCCTCAGAATTTGCTGCTGTGTGGGACTGAAAATGACCAAAGTCCTTCCCCTTAGCACAAAGGGGAGTCACCAAGATGGGATGAGAGCACTTCCCCCAAATGCCTCTGTCTTTTTCCTTCTATTCCCTCCTATTTGTGTGGGGCGCGGAAAAGATTCAGCTCTCCAGAAAGGACCAGGGTTGCATGGACAGAGCAGAAGCTGGGGCAGACCAGCGCAGTGGGYGGCCTGCCATGTGCTAGACCTTGTGGCCATCCCTTGCTGAGCTCCTTCCACGGTCTCTAGCACCACCGTTGAGTCTCCCCTGTAGCATGTGCTCGGGTTAAGGGGGTCCCATGGTAACAAAGAGTGACACCCAGGGCTGAAATCCYGCCCATGTGCTGCGTGGTGCTCAGCTGAGACACAACATCTTCGCCAGTCCTAAAAACCACAGCAGCACGGGAGGGAGACGCTGGTCTTGCTGCTTCGAGAGCAGCGTGCAACCAATAGCACTTGGACAAAGACATGTCTGAAAGGGGAACAGGCCCTCCTGTGGGGCTGGAAGTGTGGTGGACCCTTCCAAGGAGAGGCCACCAGAATAAGCATTTGCTGCTCCAGAGTAGGCTCAGGGGAGTGCCTCAAGATTGTTCTTGAGAGGTGCCCAGGCGAGGGGAACTGGGTCACGGCCATTCAGTGGGCTCTGGGCGATGCTTCGGGGTGGCTCTGCCGGGGCTTCCCCGCCCCGCTCCAGTGCCGCTGGGTGGGACAAGGCAAGAACCCCGGCCCTGTCCCCCAGCAGCGGGAGCTCCCCCTGCAAGCTGCGCCTCTCCACTGCTGTGGAAGCGGTAACGGGAAGAAGCTCCTTTCCCACGAGAAGCGTGGGGAAAGCTGGGTCTTGGCAAACCAGCAGACTGGGAATGCCCGGGAAGCRCCAGCATCCCGCAGCGTGGAGCGGCTCCCGCCGTGCAGAGATGGCTCCGCTGTGGAGGTGGCGRCGTCAGTTCGGCCCAAGGGTGTCCGGAGCCTTTTCTAGAGCCGTCTGCCCAGGGCAAGACCAGTGCAAGGCTGGTTCTCCCTCCCGTTCCTAGGCAGACCTAGTTCTACAGTAACGCTAGTGCTAGTGGTGTCACTGAGAGACTCCGGAGACACAGTGCCAGCCTCTTGAGATTTCTATACTCTTAGCCATTAAATAACTGGTGCTTGATCACTGTCTCCAGCAATCACCTTCGCGCTTAATGCAAAAACAGCAAAAAATTTAACCGGAGACCATCCAGGGTCTGAATTTCACATCAGCTTTTAGAACTGGCCACAGTTGGCCGATTCCAGCTCCTGCTTCCTCGCTGTTTTCTGGGCAGCGAGGAGCTGCACAGGTAAGTGCACTGTGCACACATACATCATGTGTGTATGTATATATAGATACACACACACACACACACATCATGGAGCCTGCAGAAGGGACATTCCTGAACAAACCGTCCCCTCCTAAGAAGGACGCAGAGCAGTTTGTTGGGTTTTGTATTTTTAGCAGATTTAGAAAAACCTGCCCAAGTTATTTTTGAAGCCTGTGGTATGCTTGCTCACAAAAGCCTCCCTGCAAACTGTCCGTGTTAAGCCAGCCCAAACCCAGCCCTGTCCCCAGGGACCAGGCAGAGCGCGTCCCGCGGCTTCCGGAGCGAGCCGGGGCCGGGGGCAGTGCGGGCGCTGCCAACAGGGAACACAGCCAGCACTGGATCATCTCTTGTTGCCCCTGCCGAGCCCTAGCTGGCTGGCTGCAGTACCCAGGTCCCCCCWCCCTTCGCTGAGCTCCCCCCGAAAGCAGCGAGGATGAACTGCGGCCTCGGGGCTTCCGTCTGTTTGTGAGGCGGCCCCTCAACATTCCCAAGCAGGAATGTTGCCTCTTTTTGAGGGACATCGATGTCAAAGCATCTCTTTTCTACAGAGGAGGATACTGATAAATTTGTGCTGAAGCTGGGGGTGCCTTCATAGCCATCTAGCCAAACATTCCCTTCACCTGACTGCGAACCTTATGCTTCAAGTTGATCAAAACACGTGCCATGCTCTGCCATCTCCAGCACAGAACACCACGTGTGCATCTCTCTTTGAAAGGTTTATTTCTATCTTCATAAATACATAGTCTTCTAAACACTGTGCAAGGCACCAAAAAATTAAGTAAAATCTTTTGTTTTAAAGTATTTTAATCTCTTTTGACTCAATGAAGTAAATAAGAATCTGAAACCATCTATTTGCCAATTACAAGCCAGCAGTTAAGGCAGGTACCATTGATACAGTGCATGAATTTTCTATTGCAGTTATTTAAACAAGCAGCGTTTTACTAGAAGTGCATATACAAACAGAACTCCAAATACCAGCAACCCAAGATAGGCACCCAGTTATGAAATTTCCTCGTATGTGTAAGTGAATGCCAAAAGTTCTGCCATAAAGTGCAAAGACTATGGACAATAACACTTTCTTTTGAGCATTTTGATACCAGTAACATAATACAACGGCTAAACATTTATAAATGTGGTTTCCATTACAAAAACATGTTCCACATAAAAGCTTCATAATACAATCCAGAAACAGAACTTGTGCGTGTACATATTTAAAAAGTTGAAGCTGTACTGGCAGACTTAGGTACCGGGTAGATATTTGCTGACCTCTACAAACACGCACTAAGTTTATAACCAATTTACATGTACAGTCAAAATCGTTCTGCTTGGAGCACCGTGATTTCCACTGAGTTTCCATCTGAGTGACGACGTGTGACATCCGCTCTGGTAATCTGCAACCAGCCATTGCCTGCAAGACGATCCGGTTCACAGCTCTCACCCAACCCTCCCCAAGAAACGGAACCTAAAATTAGTGTCTTCCCAACACAAGCACATGTCAGATGTGGACAAATACATTCATGGTCCCAAACTTAAAACAACTGGTAAGAATTTCACAGTGATCTGGTTAAGGAAGCACAAAGACAAATGATTACATTTAAGATGAAAATTGCCTTAAAACTCAAATGAAGCTAAACTGCTTTATGATGAGAAGCTAAAGGAACAAAGTATTAACCAATTAGAAAAGTGGCTCTTTCCCAACTAATAACAAAAAACCTACAGCAATTATCTCAGGGTCCTACTGCTGCAGCAGCCTTTGAGGTAGGTGGCGATGGCTTAAACCGAGGTAGGTAAAGTCCAAACTTGTTTTCAATCCCTGCAA